CCCATTAAAACTCCCGCAGTAAAACACAGAAACAGTCTCCCGAGAGGGCTGCAGGGACAGCGGTGGGCCGGGGATACAATTCTCCCTTTTTGTGCAGGAGACGCAGGAGCCCTGGAGGAGTAGCGAGTTCCTTGTTGGGCTGCACCCACAAGGTCAGCAGTTTGAAACGGCCAGGTGCTCCTTGGGAGAAAGACGAGGCTCTCTATTGTTGCAAAGAGTGACAGTCTCGGAAACCCACAGGGGCCATTCTACTCTGCCCTCTGGGGTCACTGTGGGTTGGAACAAAGTCACCCTGACTTGGAATGGACGGGACGACGGTGAGCCTGTTTCTTTTCTAGAGGTGGGAGATGCAGCTCTGCTTCCTGCCCATGCACCTGCTGGTCACAGGAGACCTGTGGGTAGTAATGGTGCTGACCAGACTCCAGTGCAGCTTCCAAACGAAGATGCACTAGGATAAAAGGCTGGCGATTGAGTTTAACAGAAAAAAAAAATCAGCCACTGGAAACGCCACGGAGCCCAGTCCTACTGGAATGTCCAGGGGAGTCTCCCCGAGTTGTCACTGACTAGTGACTGAGACACGAAGACAAAGGCTGCGTAGTAACTTCAACGTCACCAGTCCGTGCTGTCCTGGGCACCACCCTAAAGCGCTTTCTCACTCCGTGTCTGCCCACAAGGACTCCGCGAGGGCCGCGTCCATCCTCTCACCACCCAGGAAGCACAGAGAGGTTGAGAAACTGGCCAAGGCCACTCGGCTAGGAAGGGGTCCGTGCGAGATCAGATCCAAGCCGTTCACACCGGGGAGTTCCCATGTGTGTAACCACTACCCTACCACGTCTGCTGTTAAGGGGAAGACGGCCTCCAAGGAGATGATTCTAGAAGGAAGCTGAGAGGCAGAGAGCGAAGGGCGGCTTCTCTGCCCGTTGCCTTGCCTCTCTTGGGCAACAGCGTAAGGTGGGAAGTTAGGGCAGGAAGTCCCACGTGGCCCAGGCCAAAGGATACAGGTCTCGATGTTGGCTCCCACGATGTAACCGGTGACGTCGAAGTTGATGCGGATGAATTTGCCCTGCCAACGGGAAAACAGGTCACTTTCTGCTGCCCACCCTTGGCCCCCTTAGCACGACACTACAAGCTAGGGTGGGGGGTGCATCAGAGGGGATTGGGGGTGGGGGAGAAGAAGCCTGGTGAACAGTCCAAACCTTAGGGGCCATCATGTCAGGAACAGAAGCAATAACTGCGGAGCAAGGGAGAGTGTGGGTGGGGGGCGCTTGTGAAGCACCCTCACAAGCAAACACAGTTCCCGGCAGCCCCAGGCTCTCCCATTGCAAAGGAGTAAACGAGGTGGAGTGGCTTGCCCAGGGCAGCCCTGTTCCAGAGGGGGAGAGCCAGAAGGGAGGCGCATCTCCTGGGCTCACATGGCTGGGTGGCTTCCTCCATCCCTGACCCAACCCCTCAGGCCCAAGCACATCAGCTGCTGAGTGTGAAGCTGCTCCTTCCTCCTTTGGGACAGAGAGGCCACACTGTCCCAGCAGGCCCTGCGGAGGAAGCCCCAGGGGGTGCCCTGGGGGTCAGCAGGTACCTCCACTCTGGCTAGTCCACCTGCTCCCTACCTAAGGAGAACCAGAAAACAGAGTACCAGCCAGTCCCAGATCTGGCGACGGGGCTTCGCAGTAGGCAACAAAGGCTGCGTCCCTCCTGTGCCACCCTGAAGAATGTGCTGAGGGGCATCATCCTGGGTGCACAGGATGCCCATGCTTGCTCAGGCCTTGAGAACCCCCTCATATTGATCCCCATGCATGTAAGGCAGTGGAAGAACGGGCGTTGGCCACAGACATTGCGACTTAACAGAAAGCCAACTGGCCAAGACACGCCATGGGCCAAGGGCCGTATCTTTTCTCCCTTCCACCCCCATGACGTGGCGAGGCACCGGTAGGAGGGCAGTTGCATTGGGTGGGGGGTTGTCTTGCCTTGTCTCTCATGTACGACCTGCCAGAGAGGTTGTAATGGACAGAGCTATTGGAACGCAGGGCTTACGCCCCACTGCCGTGGTTTGGGAATCTCAGGGAGGGGTTGCTTTGCTTGTCACTAGGTGGTATAGCTCCTGGCACTCGGCAGCAGGGGCCCAGGAAGCGGTGCCTTTCATCCAGAACCCTGGACAGCCTTGCGCCACTCATGCCCCGTACAACTCTCAAATGTCCCACCTGACATTCATGCAGGCAAATTACCTGAGTCCAGACCCAACCCTGTTTTAGATAAACACCCAAAGAATTCTGGGGGAAAAGCTGTTCTAATATGGAAATACAATACCATGGGGGAGGAGCCCTGGTAGCATAGTGGTTAGGCACTGGCTGCTGACGGCAAAATCAGCAGTTCGAAACCACCAGTCGCTCCTCGGGAGACAAAGGAAGCTTTCTATTCCTCTAAAGAGGTGCAGTCTAGGAAAGCCACAGAGGCACTCCTACCCCGTCCTGTAGGGTCACCGTGAATTGGGATTGACTTAATGAGAGTGAGTTTGAACCCTGGAGGAGAAACAGGAGTTGGCTACCATTTGGAAAATGCCATCCCCGTAGCCTGAGCCAAGCCTTGCATCAATCTGTGGTTGCAGCTGTCACAGACACCGTGTGCTACCTGGGTGAGATGCACATCTTTCTCAGAGATGGCTCTACGGCTCCTCCCGATGCCAGGGGACATCCTTCTGCATGCAGTGTCATTGGAGGTTTCGGATTCATGGTGACCTTACAGGTAGCAGTAGAAAGCACCACTCCGTGGCCTTTGGTTTGTCTGAGTCTGTAATGTCCACCTGTCTCAGGGAGGGTTTCCCTTGTGCTTTATTGGCTCGACTGGACCCAATGGGACATCCACTTAGAGCGACTGCTCATCCCTGGTGACATGCCAAGTCAACCAGGTGACCTCTCACTATCATTGTTGCTAAGACGCACTCACAGCCACTGTAGGGGGATAGACTGACAGCGAGGTGGTAGCATGGTTCTACGTCTGCAGTGGGTAATGTTACCCAGGCCTTTCGGTTCAGGACAGGGAAGGGGGCACGACTTCGGGTCAGAGGGGCAAGGGCCATTGTGGGAGCATGCAGAGCTTCGGGTGACTCAGCACAGGGTTTCCACAAGGGTGTTTTCACAAGACCTCACCCCAAGTGAGGGGCAGCTCTGAGAGGTACCCACACGTCTAATGGGGCCCCTCGCTGCTGCCATGCAGTTGGAATCTTTCCTCAGAACTGTGCCTGTGAGAATGTCGTCCTGAACCTCCACTGGAGGCCACCACTCGTTCTGTACAATAAAGGAGTTCCGTCTACCTGTCATCCCTCACCGCTGTCACGGAGCCTGCCTCCCACCCCCGGCCATTAGTGTGCATGAGAAAGGGGAGGGGGTGAGGAGCCCAGAGCAGCAGGCACGGACGATGGCTGCTCCCATAGCAGTCTGTCACCCCGGCCATCAGGAACCACATGGGTACCATCTGCCTCCACTCGCCAAGCCTAGCTCTGGGTCTGGAACACAGGGGTGCTGCTGGGTAAACATGAACGGAGCGAATAAAAGTGGAATGTGGCCCCCAGCACAAATGCATACAGTAGGTCCTGATGCTGCCCTGTGGCGACCCTGGGGGTGTCAGAGTGGAACTGTGCTCCCCAGGGTTTCCAAGGTGCTTGTCATGTGAACGCAGGTTGCCAGGCCTTTCTCCCGAGGCACCACTGTTTTGAACTGCCAACCTCTGGCAACCTGTGTAGGCCACTCAGGGACCTCTAGCACAGAGGAAGTGCTCGATGTCATGAGTGAATTGCAAGGAGCAAATGCAGGCTGTCCGATCCACGACACACGCTCAATGGGTGTTTGTTCCGTGGATGGTGAGTGAGAGGGTGAGTGAGAGAGTGAGTGAGTGGCAGGAGCCCTGGCCAAGGTCAAGGCAAGGCTGGAGACAGAGTCCAAGGACCAGGCACCCTGGAAATAAGCCGTTGCCCGAAAACCCGCGTGGCTTCGCTACTTACAAATCGGGAGGAGTTGTCGTTCTTGACGGTTTTGGCGTTGCCGAAGGCTTCCAGAATCGGGTTTGCTTGTAGAAGCTGCTTCTCCAGCTCGCCCTGAAAGTCATTCACACCCCGTCATTGGAGACAGCGACACGGGTCCCGACAGCTCTGCCCGAGACTGACGGTGTCACCAGACTGCCCTTAACCCCGTTTCTCTCCGATCCTATGCCCTGGCCTGCCCAAGCGAGAAAGAGTCTGAAGCTAACGGTCAGCTCTATCTGAGGATTTCAAAAGAGGAGGAACTGGCCAAGTCAACGACAGCTAAGAGGACCGTTTTCCCAAGACCAGCACCTGCTCACCTTGCCACACACGGCCGTGCCCTTCAGGACAGGCGCACTGCACGCCGCAGCAAGTTGTGCAGTGTGCAACCTGCCCTGCTGGGTCTGGCCCCCTTGGTGCGGCTCATGTGTAACGTGCTCAGCCTTCTTCAGGCTAAGCCACTAGCATCCTTCTCCTGATCACTTGCGTGGGTGTGTTCCAGTGGTACTTTGTCCTTTCCCAGGATTGGTTTTCTGACGTCTCTCACAGAGTCGAAGTAAGGAACGTGCAAATCCCATAAGGTTCCTTTTGGAGGACTGCCGTGCAAGGCAAGGCTTCAAAGCAGGTTGCCGAGCTCTACCCATCGGGTTAAACACAGCGGAGGCGGGACACAGCTAGCCCACTGGCCCCTCTGGGGCGGCCTCCTGGACACAAATGCGGTCACGTGATTAATCATGGCAGCAGAGAGGGCTGACGAGGTTAAGCCATGCTGGGAAAGCAAACAAGCTGCTTCTCTCTATCCCCAAACCACGGCGGCTGCGGGCTGGCCCAGAGGCCTCCGCGCCCGGGCTCTTCCTCCAGGGCTCCTCTGTGGTCTTGTTCTCCCCGCCTTTCTGAGTGCTGACTTGTGGGCAGCAGGGTTGGGGGCAACAGAAGCCTGGAAGGGGTCTAAATCCACAGGGGGCGAGGAGGGGAAGCACATTCCTCTAGACCCTCGACACATCAGCAGGGCATCCTGGGTGGCTCTTGCTCAAAACAGGAGGCTGCTATTGTGTTTTTCATTCCACCTGTGTCCTCCTCCTTGACAGCTCTCCGAGACAGGAAGAGCAAAAACGACACCTCACGGAAGTCCCGGCCACAACGGGAAGCCCCCCATCACTGGGACTTAGCAGATACTTAGGAGAGCTCTGGGCTTTTCTCGGCTAGTGGTAGAATAGAAGGGATCCCTCCCATCCACACCAATGTCCTCGTTCTAGAATGGCAATTCCAGCTGGTGGGGTCCAAAGGTCCTTCAGGAGACCTTGAAACGTGGAACACATAGGTCAAAAGGGACCTACTTCATATTCATCCTTCTACGAGGGACAAGGGGGAGACTTGGCAGGGAAGTTAGGTGATTCAGCCAAGGTCATACAGGGGCCGAGCCTAAATAAGGGGCCTCCCTCATGGCACTGCGGCCCAGCATCTGAGCCAGATTGAAGGTGGCCGTCCCGGCAGTGTGGGCAGCCCCGAGGGTCTCTCCCAGGGCTGAGACCTGCATCCCAGCCCCTCAAGCAGGACCCATTCGGGGGTCGTGCAGCTGGGACCTTACTGTGTGTTTCAGGAGACTCAGATCAAGCAACCGGCATGCAAAAGACAGATGCACACTGCACACACATGCATGAGGTCACACTGTGCGCCGGGGAGAAGGCCGGGGCAGACGTTCAAGGGTGACGGCAGGGAGGATGAAGGGAAGCATCCCACAACTGTGCTATCCCCCGCCCACCAGGAAAGCCAGGGAAGTGTGGGGGGTCAACAGTCCTGACACGCTCAACCGGAGGGGACAGATGTCTCAGGTCGCTGCCGTTGGTGGACCATCCGTGGCAGGTGCAGGGATCTGTCCTGAACTGGGGAACACCCATTCCTCCAGGCTGTAGGACAGCCCCTACATTTCCAGGCTGTCAGGTGGCGGATGTCCCAGTCCCTCACTCCGGGAGGCACTGGACACCCACGGGGCAGTCTTGTGGTGCATGTGCTGACCGGGCTTGTGAAACTCGGGGGCCAGCCCCGGTCTACCATCAGCTACGGGGCTCAGTGGGTGCGACGGGGACATGCAGACCTGAACACACTCCATGCCTCCCCCACACGCACCCAGAAAACACCCTCCGTTACTCACGTAAGCCAAAGATGGGCCTTGCTGTGGTTGGACGATACAGCACAAAACAAACATCGGGGTTATTTAAGTCACGCACCTCTCAGGGCCCGAAGAACACACGCCTCCAGCCCACTTCCCCAGTCTGTTTTCCTCTCGGCCGCTTCGCTCTCCCTCTGCGGGTAGCTGTCCCTGCCTCTGGTTTCTTAGCAGTCTAGATAGCTCAGAGGCCTTTGTCAGTGCAAGGGCTGAGATGGGCTCTTGAAGAAGCCCCGCTGAGCTGCTCAGCAAAAGGTAAGCAGTTCAAACCCACCAGCCACTGCCGAGGAAGCAAGATAAGCCTTTCTCCTCCCATGGAGTTACAGCCTCGGAAACCTCCCACAGGCGCAGTCCTCCTCTGGCCTGTAGGGGGCGGTGGACTGGTGAGTTCGGTTTGGGTTTCGAGACGGGCTCCTTTCAAGCCCATCTGGGATGAAATTGTGTCTGCAACCCAATCATCCTCCCGCGTATGGGCAGTGGCATCGTGGGGCGTCAGCTTCCCCGTGTGACAGCGGAGAGGGGCTCCTGGAGGGGTTTCTGGCTGGGGTGGGTAGGAGAAGTCTCCGGGTCTTTCTCCTGCAGAGTCGTGCCAAAGCCCCAGCCTCTCGGTTGGCAGGAGAACGCTTACCTGCTCCTTGGCGCATCGTGTGCATGGGATAAAGACTAGTCATTATTACGGTGTCAAGTGTTCGCTCTTATGCTG